TCACATTTGGAGAACTTTGCATAAAGCTTCTCCTCCTTCAATCTCTGTAATACAATCTTTAAATGTTGAGCGTGCTCCTCCTGGCTACAAGAGTACACCAGGATGTCATCAATGAATACAACAACAAATGAGTCCAAATAGGGCTAGAATACGCTGTTCATCAAATGCATGAACGCTGCTGGGGCATTGGTCAGCCCAAAAGACATCACCAAGAACTCATAATGGCCATATCGGGTCCTGAAAGTTGTCTTAAGAATATCTGAATCCCGAATCTTCAGCTGGTGATAACCGGACCTCAAATCAATCTTGGAGAACACCCTCGCTCCCTGAAGCTGGTCGAATAAATCATCAATACGAGGCAAAGGATACTTGTTCTTGACTGTGACCTTATTCAACTGCCTGTAATCAATACACATTCTCACCGTCTTAGCATGACAATCTAGAACAGCATGACATGGAGATAACCAATCCATACCCAATATCACATCAAAGTCGACCATACTGAGCAGCAAAAGGTCCACTTGGGTCTCCAAACCCCCAATAGTCACCACATATGACCGATATACGCGGTCCACAATAATAGTATCGCCCACAAGAGTAGATACATGAACAGAAGAAATTAGAGACTCATGGGGCATATCCAGAAAATGGGCAAAATACGAGGAAACATATGAATACGTGGAAGCAGGGTCAAATAATACTGAGTCATCTCTGTGACAAACTGAGACAATACCTGTAATCACAGTAACTGAAGCAATAGCATCTGGTCTGGCAGGGAAAGCATAGAAATGGGCCTGACCACCCCCTGATCTGCCTCCCCCTCTAGGGCGACCCCTAGCTGACTGACCTCCACCCCGAGCCGACTGGGCGGATGGTGAGGTAGTTGGTGATGTAGTCGGAGGCTGACTCCTCTGCTGAGATAGACCTCTATGACGACGAGGACATTGCCTCCACATATTCCCAAGCTCCACACACTCAAAAGAACTTCCTGGTGCTGGCGGCAAAAACTGAAGGAGAACCCCTAGCACCGGGATGACTGGTAGAAGAACCTGGCATGGAAGAGCCCTGAACAAGTGGAGCACGGGATGAACTCTAAACAAGAAGGGCACTAAGTGATGAATGGCCCTAATGAGAACTGTGAGAACCATGGCCAGATGATTCACCACGGTGAAATGGCCGAGATGACTGAGCCTGTCTGAAATGACGACCTCTACCGTGCTAGAACTGACCCCCAAAAGGAGCACCGCTGAATCCACCCTGACCACGAGGCCTCTAAGACTCTCTCTCAACCCTCTCCTGACCGTGAACCATCTCAATCTGTCGAGCAATGTCGACAACCTTATCAAAAGTAGCACCCAAAACCCTCTCTCTGGTCATGAGCAACTGTAGCTGATAAGTGAGACCATCAATAAACCTCTCACTGTCCGTGGGAACCAACCAGATTGCATGACAGGCCAACTCGGAGAACCACATCTCATACTGTGTCACAAACATATCACCCTGGCGAAGCCGCTCAAACTGTCTGCACAGCTCCTCTCTGCGGGATCGAGGCACGAACTTCTCCAAAAAGAACATGGAGAACTGCTGCCAAGTAAGGGGTGCTGCGCCAACAGGCCTACGCCTCTCGTAAGTCTCCCATCATCTGAGTGCAACCCCAAAAAACTGAAAGGTAGTGAATGAGACCCCACAAGTCTCCAAATTACCAGCAGTATGGAGTATCCTCTGACACCTCTCCAAAAAGTCCTGAGCATCCTCTCTCTCTGTGCCACTGAAAAGTGGTGGCTGAAGTCTCCCAAACCTCTCCAACCTACGCTGATCATCCTCAGGCATAGCAGGGACCACATAATCCTGAGCAACAGGAACCGGCTGGGCTGGTGGTGCCTCTGGTGTCTGAAGTCCCTAAATAACCTGCTCGGGTGTGCGAGCGACGGGAGTCTGAGTGCCTCTCCTGCNAACTAGAACACTCAATAACCGCTACCGTGTCCAGCTACACCTGGATCTGCACACAAGGTGCAGGAAGTAATGTGAGTACGCCTACTTTGTAAGTAACAACAATATATAAAGACTGAGCAGTAGTGTCGAGCAATAAAGCATATAACATTCATATCAGGAAATCTCAGTAAAATACCACATGCTCTTAAAAATAAGGATTTGAATCAAACATCTCGTTTTAACCCAGTTCCAGTAAAAAATCATTTAAAGACATTTTTCCAACAGTTTTTCAAACAAAGGCTCAATGCAAAGGTAAGCAAAAATGATGAAATCATAAACAGCCCTTCGGGCAAAACATCACTCATATATAGCCCCTCGAGCAAACCTCACATTCACTCGTGCCACTCGGGCATACCTCACAATCACTCTTGCCACTCGGGCATACCTCACAATC